TCAATACAACCGAGATAACAAGACCATGCTGAAGCCGCAGACTAGACTGAGCTACCACTAGCTCGGTTCTTCCTTTCACTGCGCGTACCTCGGTTTGACATTCCAACTGGGTTGTCTGAGACCATGCTTAAGCACAACGAGCTTGGACCGAGCTATCCAATAGCAAGGTTCTGAGGAAAGCTCAACATACTTCGGCTTAGTATGGTACGACCAAGCTAACTCTGAGTATGGTGACCGAGCTAACTGCAAAGCACTCTTGGACCGGGCTAACTTCAAGGCTCTCACAGACCGGACTAATTTCAAGGCTTTCAGGGACTGGACTAACTACAAAGCTTCTTTGGACCGGGCTATCTGCAAGGCTCTTCTGGACTGGACTAACTACAAAGCTCCTTTTAGGGGAAATTACCCATAGGTCCCATGTGGAACATGTGGATATCATTTAATCCCATAACTTTTTGAGTACACCCAAAAGTCCTTTCCCCTCTCTTTCTGCTTTTTGCTTCCCTCTTTACGCCTCTTCCTCTAACCCTAATCTCAGTCCTAAAGTCAAACAAGAAGGCGATGAAGAACAAGAACAAGAAGACGATGAAGAACAAGAACAAGAAGACGCTCATCCTCAGATCTGTGCTTAGATTGAACAGATTTGTGTATATATCTTTGTCAATTTCTCTCTCTTTCTCTCTCTATTTACAGATTTTTTTTGGGATAGTTGTTGATCTATGGTTGTTGTTGTTGTTGTTGATGATGAAATAGATCTATAATATCATTGAAACAGATCTGTAATGACTCAGATTTGTACAGATATCACACAGATTTGTAATGAGAAAATTTTCGAATTCTGAACAAGTAATTTTCGAGTTTTAGTTACAGGCGTTGAAAACTGCAAAATTTTGCAGTTTCAAATTTTTTTTTTGGTGCTGGAATGAATCATGGTTTAAAATTGTAAAATTTTACAGTTTTATAACATTTTTTAGAACTGTAAAATTTTACAGTTTCATAACATGTTTTAAACATTCCGACGAGTCTCCGGAGATGTTGAACATTCCGACGAGTCTCCGGCTACCGTTTGACGGAAGTTCGACGGTAGTAAGATGTGAACAGTGTCTGTAAATTAAAAAAAAAAAAAGATTTTTTGGTAACAATTAAAAATGTATTGGACTAATTGGTGCAAGTATTTTGTTTTGGGATTAGTTGGGTTTTGAACTTAATACATGGGACTTATCAGTAAGTTCCCCCGCCTTTTACTCAGCCCTTCTTACTGTGGCCTACAGAACGGCCCATTACCCAGCTCGGCCCAATTTACATATAAATTACCCTCTCAATAACTAATGTTGGTACACTCGTTAGTATATACCAATTTGTGTATGTAGCACTATTCAAAATTTATAGTAATACTAAATACTCAAAAACATCAATATGTGATTTACATTTTCTTCACAGTTATACTAAATTGTATTTTTTTTTCCCGAAATGCACCAACATCTATTAAAAAGTAAAGTAAACAACAATTTACTATTCAGAATTAATTTGTTTTTTACTCGAATATATGAAGTTAATTCTGGTTAAAAGATAAAGCAAGTAATAATACAAAATACTCAAAATCAAATTTTTTTTTAGGAAAATGTTTGAGAATCACAATTTTTGTGACTCAAATGGCTTAAAATTGGCAAAACGACGTCTTTTTGACAATTTTAAAGTTGTTTTGTATTCAAAACGACGTCATTTTGACAATTTCGAACTATTTGAACCACAAAAATTGTGACCCTCAATCATTGCTGTTTTTTTTTTAACCCCAATACTTCAATATGTGGTTGACATAATTCTTTTAAAAGATAAAGCAAACAGTGATACAAATCAGTCAAAAAAAAATAAAAATCAATGTGGTAAGATATGTGTGCAATTTATGGGCTTCATAAGTTACTTAATCGTACTTGGCCCCTCCGAACCTTTTTTTTTTACTTGTATATACTATATTTTGTAGAATCATTATGAGTTTTTACAGTGTTAATACAAATTATTATGATTATGTTATGAAAGGATGTATCACAATAAAAGTTTTATTTATAAATTATTATGGTTGTATGACGAACTATTATGATTATGTTATGAATATTAAAAAATTACATACAATTCTGATGAAAAAAGTTATTTAACTATTATGATTTTGTTACTAATCAATGTAGTAAAGGACATACTATATGCATTTTTAAGAGTGCGCACTATAATTTTGCTTATTTTATTTCCTAAAAAAAAACCCCAAGCATTTTCATAGAATACACTTTTATAATTATTTTTCACCTTTTATGGGCTTCATAAGTTACTTAATCGTACTTGGCCCCTCCGAACCTTTTTTTTTTACTTGTATATACTATATTTTGTAGAATCATTATGAGTTTTTACTCTGTTAATACAAATTATTATGATTATGTTATGAAGGGATGTATCACAATAAAAGTTTTATTTATAAATTATTATGGTTGCATGACGAACTATTATGATTATGTTATGAATATTAAAAAATTACATACAATTTTGATGAAAAAAGTTATTTAACTATTATGATTTTGTTACTAATCAATGTAGTATAGTTTTGAAAGGACATACTATATGCATTTTTAAGAGTGCGCACTATAATTTTGCTTATTTTATTTCCTAAAAAAAGACCCCAAGCATTTTCATAGAATACACTTTTATAATTATTTTTCACCTTAGTTCTAATAGCTATTTGTTAATTTTAGTCATTTAAATTAAACTTGATCCAACTGCTTAAACTTATTTAAAATTTTACTTTTAGCCTCTTCAATGTTATAATTATGACTCCACGCTTCTGGTGATAAATAAAGTTTTTTACAACCAAAAAGAATGGGCACACAAAAAGAAAAAAGAATAGGATTGTTTGGGATATGTTGAAATAGTAATTTTTTTTTTTAATCTTTATTTTACTTTTAGCCTCTTCAATGTTATAATTATGACTCCACGCTTCTGGTGATAAATAAAGTTTTTTACAACCAAAAAGAATGGGCACACAAAAAGAAAAAAGAATAGGATTGTTTGGGATATGTTGAAATAGTATTTTTTTTTTTTTAAATTTTTTTTAGGTGATGTTACATCTTTATTTATTTATATATATTTTTTATAAAAAAATTAAAAAATAACTCTCAAATTTGAAATTTGATGTGATATCGTGCCCGAGAAAGAGTCGTACTGAAACTCAAACTTGGTTGAGATTGAAAATAAAACACACAGCCGTTTGAAAATTAAAGTGAGCAACTTTTAGTCAGGAAAGAAAAAGACAAAAGGAACAATCAAATCTGTCAATGGAAGAAAACCTTGAAAAGCTTGTGAAGCAATGAAAAGTGAAGGCGCCTAGAAATTTGAGAATTTGTAACTGATGCGCTATAGGTTAGCTACTGTGGGTGGGTTTATTAGACAAACAGTGTCAATATCACCATAAGCTGCTTTTTATATAACAAAATAGATATGTATTATTTGTAATACCAATGTGAGGGAACTAATTATAGAATGAATTACAGAGGCCACACACAGCTGTATGTTATGCGTTCTGCTGCATTTCTTCCCCAGTGGTGCTTGTTTTTGAGAATATTTTATGAACCATTATTGAGTTAGTGACAAGTCATTGGTCCAGGATTTACATTGGCCTAGTTTTTTTTGAACATACATTGGCCTAGTTGATAGCTTTTTGTTTTGTCTAGTTGTGGTGTGGACCACCTAGCTCAAAAACCAATTGTCTGCCTTCCACGTGCTGCAAAAACCACAGCTCATTCCTTTTTCTTTTTTTAATCACTTGCCTGGTTTGTGTAATTTGACTTTGATAATTTTATCTCAAATATTATTAGATGTTTAAATATTATTATTATTATTTTACAATTAATCATATTTAATTTTTATAATTTTAAATAAAACTTTTAATAAAAACATAAATATCTATCAAATTATTCATATCTTTTTAATATATAAATAGAAAATTTGTACAAAATTCTCATACAGAATGAGCTGACGTCGTGTAATTCTTTTATTTTTGTAATTTCACAAATGTCATTAGTGCGTCATTGATGTTCTTTTTGTATAAGTTCTATGTTTGCAAATCACTTTCCTTTATTTACACCTTCAAAATATACATTCTACTTAGACTTTTCCTTCAATTCAACTTTTGACCTATCCATGACCGTCGTCGTATGCTTTCCAAAATCTAACCCGGTAATAGAAGTTGCGAGTTTGAGTCAGGGGTGATTTAAGCTGGAGTAGGTTCTAACGAGTGACAAGAAAAAAAAAGAGAGGGGCAAATTATATTAAGGCCAAGTTTGGCATATTGTAAAAAAGTTAAAAAGTTAAAAGGTTAAAGTTAACACTATTCATCAAAAATCAACAATTACAGTTGCACAACTCTCAATCTAATTTTTCTCTACAAATCAATTTTTATAATTTTTTATTACATATTTTTCCATAAAAAGTCAAAAAGTTAACCCAAACATTCATATTTTCTTTCTCAATTTTTTAGTTCAAAAAGACAAAAAGTACATTTATTTAAGACACCCCAAACAACACCTAAATCCTCTTAAACTATAAGTTATTTACACTTTATTCTTAATGTTTTAAACCTAACAATTACTTCTCTCAAACTATTTGAATTTGAACATTAAGTCCTTTTATTAGTCATTTATTAGATATTTGAATGAAAAATTATCAAATGTTATGCACGCGATGATTATCAACTTTCTCCTAACCTTATCCCATTCTCACATTCATTTCCCATCAACATTTCTGTGTACGATCTAATCACTTATTTTACGGTTTATTTGGATTTATTTCTTTGTGTAAATCAATGGGGGGGGTTCTTTGTAAAATCTAATCACTTCTTTTAAAATTGGCCATATGCACCAACCATTAAAGTCCACAGAACAACATCCCTCTTCTTCCTCTTTCCTTCTCTAGTCTAAATCCCACACCATACTAAAGACCTGCCTAACCTCCTCCTCCTCCTCCTTCTTCTTTCACGGTTGTACTTGTTATTAAAATCGCAGTGGTATTATGGATATGGAGTTGTGGCCGAACCTAGTTCAGCATTTATGGACGATGTGGTTACAGTCCGCCCACGTGGTGGCCAACCCACAAATTTTAACCATTAGCAAGGTTGACATAGTGGGTGGGTCGGAAAGATGCAAAATAAAAAATTCAAAAAAGATTAATAGTTCTAGAATACTAATGTCAGAGAACTAATTATAGAAAAAATTACCAAAACCATACACAGCCGCCCCTTGGGGGTTTTGCTGCATCTCTTCCTTCCCCGGCAGTGTTTGTTTTTGAGAATATTTCATGCTCTTTTGAGTTTGTGAGAAGTCTTTGGTCCTGCATAACAGTGGCCTAGTTAGTAACTAGTTTTGTCTAGTAGTGTGGCTAACAACTTACACTTCGTTTGAATTGAGTTATTTGGCGAGGAAATTAAAAAAAAAAACAATCAATTTCCCTCTATCACAAAAACCAATTGTGTGCCTTTCATGGAGTACAAAAACCAGCTCATTAGGTTAACCCAACAAAATAGCAATTGCACATACTGTGTTTATTATAACAGGAATTTCATCGAACACTTGCACTGCATCATTGATAAGCAACAATTTTTTGCATACAAATCAGTAAGATCACTACCCACAAAAAGAAAAAGCTAGATGACCAATCCGATTTGATAACATGAGAATGCAACAGCTTACAAATTCAACTATAGGAACCCCCATTGATGTGTATGAAAAGCGAAGGTTTGGAGAGTGAGAGAAACACCCTTTTAGACGAAAATCTGAGATGAATGCATTAAAGGGTAATGGGTTTGTTGGATTGATGCAATTGAAGAAGTTGTCGGTAAGAGTTTGAAGGTGAGTTTGCGAATATGAGTTTGGTGTGAATAAGGTGAAGAGAGAGAAAGAGCAGCTTGTTCCTAGTTTGGGAACAGAGGTTTAAGAAGAAATGAGAGAGAGAGAATTGAAGTTTGGGTGGTGGATCTCAGTTCTATTTGGAGTAGTCTTTCGGCCAGTGTAGCCCAAGAAGATAAGCACACCAAATCCGTTCACAAATTGGACAGCCAAATTGGACCCATGTGGCCCATTATTAGTTCCATTCGGATAATTCATTTTATAAATTCTTCCTAGGCCTAGATTGTTACATTTGTATTGTAAAAAAATATTCAAAATCATTTCTTCCATTTATTCAAAATCATATAGCAACTGGCATATATGGAAAAAAAATGCATGAACATTTTTCTTTTTAATTTGTTTTGGGTGGAAAAAGTATTACATCTATGAAGAGTGTGCATATTATTTATTGTGTCTTGTACTGGTCTATGAACTCAATCACCAGAGTCATAATGTCTTGTTACAGCTATATATCAATTCTGTCACAATATTCTGTCCTACAAAAAATAATTTTTTTTAAAAAAACAATCATATCATGGGTTTGTCAGAGAGCAATTATTATTTCTAGTATAAATGAAAGACCAGAACAAATTTCACATGGGACTAGAAAATCTGCTTTACAAAATTGTTTGCAATTATTTACATGTCGTAGTAGCCTCTCAACTTTCAACATCCATTTCAATGTGGGAGACAAATGAATGTGTCCATTTTGCTTTGCAAAAATTTTCGTACTGCCAATCATCAATGATCAGACCTTCTATAGTTAAATGTAAATAATATATTGAATGAATCCTCTGAAGTTTCTTGCCCGAACCCTCTTTTTACCAATTTTTTATTTTTTATTTTCTGAACGCTCGTACTTACATAGAAATTGCAATTACAGTTTTTATAATGAGAAATTACGTATATCACCGATTTTATTTTTTTTTTACCATTTTACATTACCTCTTATATAAAGACTCATGATTGGTTCATTGTTTTAAGATAATTACTAAACAATTAATGAAAATAAATAATATCTTATCATATAATTTAGTGATATAAAAAAACAAATGATATATAACAATCTACTATGTTATAAAATTATGAGTTAATTACCTAAAAGTCTTATTTACAAATGTTATGGTAGCTCAAATCCTATTTAAGATTTTTTGAACCAATAAGTCTTGTTTAGTAAAATTAAGAATATTATCAATTTTTTTTTTTTGCAATTTTTAAAACTAAGAACACTATCAATTTTGCATAGTAATGTTCTAGATAAATGTTTCACTAAGTGATAAAAAAACAGAGCATGAGATTAAACATTTTTGCCCTTCTACTTATTAGTTTGATTCAACTATCCAATAATACTGAAACATTAACAGTTTTTTCCAGTTTTAAAACTAAGAACATTATCAATTTTTTCATTTTAATTTTTTTTTTCAATTTTACACATCAATATTCTATCATTATGCTCCTTTATAGATTCAAATTTTTAGTTTTTCACAAAAAAAATAATTCAATTTTTTCAAAATTTTCAATTTTTTTTTTTAAATTTGAAAGTTAATGTTTTGAAGTTTTAAAAATTAAAATAAATGTCAAATCATTATGTTCCTTTATATAGATAATCATAAATGATAAAGATTGTTTGAAGGACAATTCAACTATTAAAAATTTAATGGGACTTGAAGGTTTAAAAAAAATTTATTAGGACTCAATGGAATATAAATTTACAAATTAAAACTTGTGTGTAAATATCTCTAAAAATATTCGGTGGCTTTGATTGATATGTGGCATACGTATTTAAATGTAATTGATTCATATAGTTATCAATTTTGTGTTGGTGTTTTTAAGAAACAACATGAGAGGTGGCTATTAGTAATTTGTTACATTCAATAATTTTATTTTCTTACCACTATCCTTCTCTAGGTTGAGCTTGTCTCAAGGATATTATGGATGAATTTCAGAAAAATTTTAATTGTAGTGTAAATTCCTCTTTTAGATATGAAACTTGTGATAATTATACAAATAATTCTTTTAAGAAGAATTGTGTTGCCGTGAACAATCAATTTGGAGATTTAAGGCTCCTACCACCACCAAAAATAAAAAAATAAAAAAAAATTGTATATATATCCATTGTAAAAGTGTATGTATTCATATTTCAAATATAATATCAATTTTTTATTTATGATTTGAGAAGTTTCTATTTTTAGAAATAGAAAAAAGCAAAAAACTAATATGGAAATATTGTTTGAATTATTTTTTAGAATTTCAAAAAAACAATTAAATGAAAAGGAGATTGAAATTACGAGTCTTTTTCAAACCTTCATTATTTTTTGTTTTTAAAATGTTAAAAAATCAAAAATCAAAAATAAAGTTAATTAAAAAAATTTAAATGACACCACTCACAAAAAACTCTAGAGTTACTATTGACAAATGGTATAAAGCATATTCCTATGAAATTGTGGTTTATGTGTTGTGTACAGACATCATCTAGATGGTTTTGCTGGGAAAATCTTGCTGACATACATAGTTCATCAGAGAGATCATATGGCTATATCTACCAAATCATATAAAAGATTAGGGGGACACGAGTTTGAATGTATTCTGTTGTTGGGATACCTTCTAAAACTTACCCTACAACTCAATATGCAGTGTCCATCTGTTTTTAGGAGCGTGCACGGGTTGGAGCGAAGTGGTTTAGGGGAAAAAAATAATCACAAAAGTGCGATTCCCGAAAACCTAACTCAAATAACTTAATCCAATCCCATTAAAATAAACAAGCTCATTCAACTTAATTCCACACAAAAAAATGAAAGCTCATTCAACCTTCAACCCCGTTCTTCAAATAAATTACCTTAATTCAAAAGACAAACTATCACCCAAGAGTAACAAGAAATTAAGTCTAACTTGTTTAAAAAGAAATCAAACATACAAATAACCATCCAAATTAAGTCCAACATGAATACAAAGAAATTAACAGTGCACACTCACAAGCAAACCATCCAAATTAAGTCCAAGAGAACCTAGCCAATCATCTAAATTATACAATTAAACAGTCTAAGAAATCCATAGTAAATCGCAACAACTGCTAGTATATGCAACATCCACTCATCCGAACTCCAAAGAACCACACTAGCTTCATCCAAACTCCAAGCTTCATCAATCTACAAATATAAGCAAGAAAAAATTATTCTATAACAAAAAAAATATAAAAAATATAAATTGTGAACTGCTCTCTCTGATGATGGTTAGAAATTTTTCTTGCACCAAGTTCATTGGAAAGCTAAAGCAAGCCAAAGGTGGGATTTTCTTGCGCTATAAAAATTGTGAACTGGTTTTGACAGAAATGTTTACTCTTTAGCATCTGCAGTCATTGTAACGATAAGTAAAAGATGACATCAAGAAAGATGCAAACATAACTAACAATTTAGTTGTTCAAATAGGAGAATACACAGTTTGTAATGCATGTGCAGCTGTTGAATCCCAAGGCCTGTTGCAAAGAATTATAACATATGCTTAACACTTTTATTAAGATTCTAGCTCCCCAATTAATGGCCTTGGAATAATCAGCAAAATATCGGAAGGTGTTTAAGCTTCTCTGCATTGTGAAGATTTTCAGAATCAAGTTTTTGAGCAGGTTCTTATGCATTGAAGAGTAGCAGGTTCTGATACATTGAAGAGCAATTCTTATTTCTAGTATAAATGACCATTCCATTAGGAGGCTAAGGAATAGTCATTCCATTCCTGCCCATAATCATTCTAGCAACACTACCGTAGATTAAGGACTGAATGATGTGTTAGAATCTTCAAGGTAGCTTATATGCAAAGTTAACAATGAAGTCCCCAAAACCCCAATGAAGCCTATCTGGAAAGCCATGTTGAGAAAGAGGAATGGACTTGATGAGGTTACAACATTGGCAGGAAAAACATATGAATGAGAATTGGTGATAATGTGATCTTGGACTGAATTAGAAGGAAGGATGATAGGTTGAGTGAAGCAGTATACCAGCCTGATATCTGTTCTTTATGATACCAACATCTCAATCCCAATTGACTAGAGCAATAAACCGGTATATAACTGTGCGGACCAGTTTCCGCAGTAGAGTAAGATGGAACTTCGTGGACGAACCCTGGTGCACCAATGGGTGAAGTCCTGCACAAGGAACAAATAGTTAGGTTGCCCGACCGGGGGTTGGTCGGAAACCCCTCCGACGGTCGAGTCAGTACCGGAGTTTGGTAGAGACAAGATAGAGAAGACCAGTGTGTTTCTAGAGTCAAGAGATGCCCCTTTCAAGTGGAGTAAGGTTACCTTTTATAAGGATCGTATGACTTATTCATCAAGCTCTCTCGTTCTCCGCCTGGTCTTCAACCGTGATTGTAGCACATCCCTTAATAGAAGGGAGCAAGTTCCGTCATTCGCGGGCACCATGTGCCTTTTACTTTATATGGTATTGATTGATCTATTAGCACTCATGTTTCATGGAGTAGGAGCCTTGAAGCCCAAGTTATGGACTTACCCACTTCGGAATGGGGAGTGGTGCTAGGGCCAGGCCCATGGTCTTTCCTTCTTCGGAGTGGGGAGTGGTGCTAGGGCCAGGCCCATGGTCTTCCCCTCTTCGGAGTAGGGAGTGGGCCAAGACTGATCCCTTAGCTCGGCCCATCATAGAGTAGAGAGAGAGAGCTCACTTCGGAGTGGGGACCTTCGTCCAGTCCAACGAGGCTCCATACAACTAGGCTTGAGTACGGAGTAGGGACCTTCGTCCAGTCCAACGAGGTTCCATACAACTAGGCTTGAGTACGGAGTAGGGACCTTCGTCCAATCCAATGAGGTTCCATACAAATAGGCTTGAGTACGGAGTAGGGACCTTCGTCCAATCCAACGAGGTTCCATACAAATAGGCTTGAGTACGGAATAGGGACCTTCATCCAATCCAACAAGGTTCCATACAAATAGACTTGAGTAATTGTGCCCCCTTCATTTGCCCCCTGGCTAGCACTAAAAATTATTGAGTAGAAGCCATTATTTGTATCTCGGCCCAATTTAGTAAAAGCAATATTTACAATAATATACACTTACGATTCACATATTCTTACTGTTAATGTTTTTCATTACAATATATAATGCCTAGAAAGACCTGGAGGACATTTCATGTCCAAGTTTGACATTGAATTTTTAGGTTCCTGTAGGCTGCCTAGAAAAACATGGAAAACATATTCATCCCAATCACACGTAATAAAAATTCAATATCAAGCTTGGGCATGCACATTCAGTTTCACCAGTCATGATTTATTTTCATTTTATAGTGTTAGGTTTGATTTGTTTGGAATTGTAGAGTATAGTCTGTTAAATATATTTTTATAACTGCATTTTAATCTTAATATTATTTACACCGTGCCTTTAGGCACGGGCATACGCTAGTATATATATATTTTAAAAGATTAATCATTACTTCGGTCCTTGAGTAGCTTGGTTTTGATAAAGTTATACTTTTGTCTGTCTATATGGCTGCGTGGCATTTCTTGCTTGGACGGTTTGACCATTGCAGGCTATTTTGAATTCTTTATAGAGAAATTGAATACCCATATTTTTCACCAAGGATCCTTTAGAGTATTTTTTTCCTAAAGTTTCCTAGAGTGGTGTATTGTGTGGTTGAGATTTAATGTTAAAAAATTGATGTGACTTGTCATTAAATCTCAACCACATAATACACTACTCTAGGAAACTTTAGAAAAAAAATACTCTAGAGGATCCTTGCTCCATATTTTTTTACCTCTCTCTTTCTTATTATAGAAGCCCATTTCTCTGAAACTCGAAGCTCACCAGACGGCGTTATTCTTTCCACGACAAGCTTGTTCTGCCGTCATCACTGTCTTGATAACAAACCTATCATCGTGCTTCCCTTACGGCCCGCCGTCGATGATCTTTGTGTTGCCAATTTTCAGCGATTGTCTTGTGTTTTCCATCACTCACCATTGATTTTGGCGGTGGCAGCTTTCTCTGGTCAGTCAGTGTGCTTTCGGTTTTTTACTCCTGAAACTCTAATCTTGCTGGAGCGAGCTTGAAGATCCATCTTCTCCAGTATCCCTTTGTCAAATAGTTTGTCTTGTCATTGACGTTGGTTCTTCAGTGTGACAAACTTCCTTCGCCTCCGCCGCCACGTGACCTCTCCTTGATTGTGAATTCTTCCACCGATACTGTAAGTCACTAAAATCAGTCACTTTGCGCTCTTACCACAAACTATCATCATTTTTTCGTTGACGGTGGTTATCCATTATTATCTCAAGTGATTTCTTTATTTTCCAGTGGGCTCATAATGGTATTATTTTCGATTATTGTAGTGGGCTTGCTTTGTTGGAGTCCCTTGTTGTCGTGCACCTTTTGATTTTTGGCACCGTGAGTACTTGAACCCATATCTTTGCTTTAGGTTCTCGCCATTGTTGATTGTCACTTTTGTCTTAGTCATTTGATAATTTCTGGGCTCTACTGGGTACTGTACATTTGACATATGAGTTGTCCACCATTTAATGCCATAACACCAAAGTTTGAGGTAAACCATGGGTAAATTTAGGAATCTAGTGAACACACCGTCTAAACTAGCCCTCTTCCGCAAGAAGTATCATATTCCCGAATATGTTACACTAGTGTTAGGGGGGTTAAACACACTTCGAACTCTAACCAATGACACTGTGCCTTTTCCTGTAGGAGCCATCGTAGAAGGGGGAGTTCGGTTCCCCTTGGACCTTTTGTGGCTCAAAATCTTCTATTACTTCAAACTCCACCCCATGGAGATAGCCATGAATACTTTTAGGGTTGTAAGTGGCTTCTTAGCCCTTAACAAATTGCTTGGCCATAATTTAGGAGTATGGGACATACTTCATTGTTACAACCTTTCTCACCACCCAGGTGGCACCTTCTGCCTTAGAGTTCGGTCCGATGTCCCTTAAATGATCTTAGACCTTCTTGGTTCTGATAAGCATTCGAAAGATTTCTTCACGGCAGAACGGAACTTCGAGTATCTTGCCGGTGTAGAGGACCGACCAACGCGAATATGTCGTGAAGGTGGTGGTCCAGGTTAGCTTTTGTCCTTAACGCTTTACTTTTACACTTTTGGTGTTGACTTTTAATTTTTGTTGTATGACTTCGACAGGTGATTCCCGGACGAGGAGGCGGACTACCAAAGAACATCTGGCCAACCTTGAGATTGCCTTTGCCTACCCCTATCGATTTGTAACAAAACTGCTTAATTACAAGGCCACTTACAAGCACAAGCTTAATGAGAGGAAGGTTCGTGTAATTAACTACTTTAGGAAGTCTCCAGAGAGGTCGTTGGAGCAGCAAGCTTGTGATAACACTGGTGTTTCTACTTCCGCCACTGCTTGGTCATCAAGTGGAACTACGAGTGAGGGCCCTTGTCACGACGACCAAGAAGGCATGACTCGCCGAAAGCTTGACCTTGCAGCTCTTTCTTACGGCACAGATCCTGTTCCTAAAGTAGCTACTGTGACCGTTCGGCCTGCTGACCAAAGAGTCTTGGTTCCAAAACAGTCCGTACAGACTTCCAAGGAAGTTCATTCTCCTACTCCACATAGTACAACACATACTGAAGAACTGAGGGGCTCCAAGAGAAAGAGGAGTAAAGGAAAGGACGTTGTAGAGGGCTCTGACGAGAAAACTTTGGCTGAGGAGTGGCTATCTCCCTTAGAGTATAAAAGTTGGCCTATCACTGTGGCTAACAGCGTGACAGATTCTTGTGATTTGGCATTCTATCTGTCCAAGACATTACTCCTACCCCTGGACATGGTCGAGTGTAATGTAGATTCTGAATCTCTACTCAAAGGATCTATTTAAATGGTGACCGCAGTAAATATTCCTCTCCTGATTTGATTCATTTCTTGTTGTTTTTCAATAAACTTCTCTAAGTGTTTTATTTTGGTTCTTGACAGTTGGTACAGCGACTTCATGTTCTGGAGCAAGTAACAGACTTCAACCGAACTACGCAGTTATTATCTGATGCCGACCTTGCTCTGAAGTCAGCCGAAGCAGAACGGATAAAGGCCGAAGAGGAGGCTGCCACTGCTAGGGTGTCAGCCCTTGCTAAGGAGAAAGCGTTGTTGGAGATTAAGAAAATTGCTATGGTGGCTCTGGCTGCCAATAAAGAGGTCGAACAGAGAAAGCTAAAGTGGAGGCCGAGCTGGAGGCAATGAAGGCCAACCAAGCTAAACTTATTGAAGAGGCCATCCAGAAGGGTTGGGATGAGACTGAAGCAGATTATACCCAACAAGTGCTGGAACTGAGGGATGGCTTATTTGCCAAGGGTTGGACAAGGGACCTTCGTGCTGTTGGAACTGAGGAGACTTCTACTTTCTTCAAGGACATCCCTGTTCCATCTAAGACTGTTACTGCAAGGGCTACTAAAGCAAATGAGACATTAGTGGCTGAGACTTCGGAGGCCACCATTTCTGTTTCCTCTCTTCGACTGTTGAGCGTTATTTCTGAATGAGCAAGAGTAGCCTTGTAATGAGGCTTGAAAGCCCTTTACTTATTTTCTGCATTTCGTCTCTCTCTTTTTTTTTTTTTTGCAAGTGTTGAAGTTCGGCTAGTTAGACATCGTCGTTTTGTAAAGCCGAGCTCCTCTTTTTGTAATGGATGCTTTATAGTAATGTCATGCTTTGTTGCATTTTTGTATGTCTTGAACTTCAATTTCTAATTTTTGCTTGCATGTGTTATGCTTGCCCCCGGCTGAGCAGGGGCTTTCTAAAGAAGGAGGCCGCATGTTCGGTCTGAATAGGCTCCGTGTCGTAGAAAAATTGGAAGAAATAACTTTTGATGCCCCCAATCCGAGCAGAGACGTCGTAGGAAAGGAGGCCATTTGTTCGGTAAAACTAGGCTTTGTGCCTTAGAAAAATTTGAGGAAAGAATTTTTCATGCCCCCAGCCGAGCAGAGGCTCCAAGACTATATAGGGCGTCTAATCGAACAGACCAGGCTTTGTGCCTTAGAAATGTTTAGTTGGATTCGGCCAAGTATTTTGTTGTTTGGCTTTTACTTGATTCGGTCAAGCTTAATTCATCGTAGAGCGTAACTCGGCTCTTCGTTGAGCGCGACTTGTTACCATGGACCATGCTTTCAAGTAACGATACTTGGCACAAATTCCACCAAGCTATAATACTTGGCGGCTTACTCCAACCGAAGGGCCGAGTTTGCAGGCTAAGGTGTAGGTTAAGACTTGTAACCCGTTCTTGCTCAATTGTCGAGCAAAAATATGTACAACACATATGAAAAAGAACACAATTCATAAGGAAAAGGTGATTTCAATAATACTTAGAGAATTGCGATTACATTCAAAAACTATTTAGATCATTACATCACTAATAGTATTTCTTCAAGTTGGCAACATTCCAAGGATGAGGAATGGGCTTGCCTGCTAGGTCAGTCAGGTAGTAAACTCTGTTGCCTAAGGCAGAGGTAACTCTATATAGGGCTGAGCAAGGAATCCGTGAAATCCGTAATCCAATCCTGCCCAGTCCAATCCGATAGGTTTGGATTGGTTTTTTGAATCCGCAGTTCGGTTCCAGATTGAAGAATTAAAAATCCGTAGTCCATGGATTGGTTCCGGATTGAACCCCACGGTTCCGGATTGGAACCGATCCGGACCGTATACAAATAGTCTATATTTTTATTATATATCATCCTCCATAGTATCTTTTCTTATTTTATATAAAATCTAAACTCAAACCTAAAACTATATAATATCTTCTTTTATTACTTTTGTTTGTTAGTTTTTAGTTTTAATTTGTAATGGTCTAAATACTTATGGTGAAACCAGTTTTCTTCTGGTTGTTTAAATTCTAGAACAGTATGTCGCTATTATAGAAAAACATGTTGCTATTATAGCGCTATGTTTATATTTTTATAAATTAAAGTGTTATATATATATATATATATATATATATTTTTGTTATTTAATTATGTGAATCCGTGGTCCTAAACCGATCTAATTCGTATTTAAATGGATTGGTTCGGATTGGTTCCATGATTTAAACGGATTGGATTAGTTCCAATTTTTTAGGAACCGAAGATAACGGATTGGTCCTGATTTTACTCTAATCCGATCCAGTCCGGACCATGCTCACCCCTAACTCTGTAAGGCCCTTCCCAGTTAGGGCCGAGCTTTCCTTTACCACAGACCTTCTTATGATCCATGATCTTTCTTAGCACCAGATCTCCAGGTAGAAATTGGCGAATTAGCATATTTTTGTTGAAACTTCTAGTAAGTTGTTGCTGGTATGATGCCAGACGAATGAGCGCGGCCTCTCTGTGCTCCTCTGTCAGGTCAAGAGCTTGGGCAATAGCCTCATCATTGTTTGTTGGTTCAAAGATTTCAGACCGAATAGTGAGAAGGCCGACCTCCAAGGGGATGATGGCCTTCCATAAGTGAGAGAGTAAGGCGTCTCCTCTGTCGATCGCAGTGGTGTTGTTCTGTACGCCCATAGAATGTTTGACAGTTCTTCCACCCATTTGTCTTTGGCCTTCTCCAGCCGCTTCTTCATCCCATTGATGACCGTCTTGTTAGACGCTTCAGCTTGACCATTGCCTTGAGGGTAGACTGGAGTAGAATTTCGGAACTCAATTTTTAAGTCAGAACAGAACTTCCTGAAAATCTTTCCATCAAACTGGGTGTCGTTGTTAAATAGTAGGGTCCTTGGGATGCCGAACCGAGTAATGACGCTCCTCTAAATGAACCTTTTCATGTCAGCTTCCTTTATGCTTGCTAAGGCTTCAATCTCCACACACTTAGTGAAATAATTAGTAGCAGCAATGAAGAACCTTTTGTTAGCAGTACCCCTTGCCAGAGGTCCAACGATGTCTAGACCCCATTATGCAAATGGCCATGGATTGGTGAGGGGAGTTAAGTTCTTGGCTGGTTGATGAATGAGTGGGGCAAACCTTTGGCACTTGTCGCATTTTTAAACATACTGTTGGGCATCTTTCTGTATACGCGGCCACCAGTACCCATGAGTGAAGGGTCGGTGTTCCAAGGACCGACCTCAAGTGTGACTGCCACAGATCCCCTCATGGATTTCGTAAAGAAAGTTCTCCACAAGATGGGAGTGAACACAAAGAAGATACGGGCCGAGGTAAGACTTTTTATAGAGCTTGCTCGAAGGTGAGACCCAAAATCACGCAGCTCGATGCCTTGTTTTATGTGCTTCTTTCTTGTCATCTGGAAGGGCACCATTTTTTAAGAAGGCAAGAAGTGGGTCTATCTAGCTCGGACCGAGGTTAGTACAGAGGACCGAGCTGGGTGGATCGACAGTCGGTTGAGGAACAAATTCAATCCATATCTTGCGACCATTTTTGGAGTCCACCGAAGAGCCAAGACATGCTAAGGCATCGGTGTGGCTATTTCCATCACGGCCAATTTTCACAACCTTGATAGCTTGAAATTTGCGGATTAGGTGCTTGGCTTGTTCTGCATAGGATGTCATCTGGTCATCGCGAGTTTCGTATACTCCGGTCAATTGGTTCACCAAAAGTTGGGAGTCGTTATGAATAAGCAACTCCTCTGCATTAAAGTGTTCAGCGCGGTGTAGACCAGCTAACAGAGCCTCGTACTCCGCTTCGTTGTTGGAAGCCTTCCATTCCAGTCTAACGGTTTGCTCCCAAACAAACCCCTCTGGTGAAATAAGGACCATTTCCGCTCCAGAACCCTTTTGGTTGGGGGATCCATCAACGAACAGTTGCCAAACATCTCCAATGAAAAGTTTCCATGCCTCGGCAGAAGTTTGATGAGTGTTGTGGATTCCGGTTGCTAAGGCCAAACTCCCTTCGGAGAAGTCAGTCGGTCCTGGAGTGAATTCAGCTACGAAGTCTGCTAACACTTGAGCTTTGATAGCAATTCGTGGCTGGAATTTAATGTCAAACTCCCCCAATTCTACTGCCCACTTCGCTGTCCGGCTTGAGAAATTAGCTCGGCTGAACACAGACTTTAAAGGGTACTTTGTGAGGACATTGATAGTGTGTCCTTGGAAGTAGTGAGCAAGCTTCCTGGAGGCTATCAGTAGGGCGTATGCCAGTTTCTCTAGAGGTAGGTATCTAGTTTTGGCATCCAAGATGGTTTTGCTAACGTAGTATACTGGCTTTTGTTTCTTCCCTTCCTCTGTAATCAAGGCTGCACTCACAGCGTGATCGGAGACAGCTAAGTAAAAAAAGAGCACTTCATTGGGGACTGGAGTAGACAAAAGAGGAGGGGAAGAAAGATACTTCTTCAACTCTGCGAGTGCTTCGAAGCACCTGTCACCCCATTCGAAGTCTGCCTTCTTTCTTAGGAGTTGGAAGAAGGGTCTCATTCGATCGGACCGACTAATGAAACGATTCAATGATGCAGCCATACCAGCGAGCTTTTGGAGTTCCCTAGCCTTTATAGGTGCCTCAATGTCTTGGAGGGCTTTGATTTGGTTGGGATTGACTTCGATACCTTTCCTGGTCACTATATATCCCAAGAACTTCTCTGAACCTACCCCAAATGCACATTTCGAGGCGTTCAAGCGAAGCTTGTGGGTTTTCAGGGTTTGGAACACTTCCTCCAAGTCTCTCAGATGATATTCGGCCAATTTACTTTTGACCACCATGTCATCCATATAGGCCTCCATAGTCTTGCCTAGTTGGTCCTTGAACATTTTAGTGACCATACGTTGATAGGTCGCACCGGCGTTTTTCAGGCCGAAGGGCATCACTTTGTAGCAGTAGGTGCCCCTTGGGCTAATGAATGTTGTCTTCTCCTGATCAGGGCCAAATAGGGGGATTTGATGATAGCCACTGTAGGCACCTAGGAAGCTCATCTATTCATGTCTGGCAGTTGCATCTACCAGTTGGTCTATCCGTGCGAGAGGAAAGCTGTCCTTAGGACAAGCTTTGTTGAGGCTGGTGAAGTCGACGCACACCCTCCATTTTTCGTTCTTTTTCTTCACCACGACAGTGTTAGACAACCATTTTGGATATTGTATCTCCCGTATAACCCCTGCCACCAGAAGCTTGTTTACCTCTTGGATGACCGCTTCTGTATGTTCTGCAGATGATTGTCTGCTCTTTTGGACTACGGGCCGAGCTGCTGGTTGGACATTGAGTTAGTGACATGCAAAGGCTGGGTCCAACCCAGGAGTCTCGTAAGCAGACCAGGCAAATACTTCTATATTCTTGCGGAGGAGAGTTAGCAACTGTTCCTTCTCTCCGGTGAGAAGCGAAGTGCTGAGTAGAAAGAACTTGTCTTTATCTCCTCTGCCCACCAAGATCGTTTCGAGGTCCTCCACCATCTTCTCTGTTGGCACTCTACCAACGTCTTCCAGTATAGGCTGATCAGGCAATTTGACCATCTGGACTTCCTTGCATGCTTGTTTAGACTTCATGGCGGCAATGAAACAGTGCTTTGCCGCTATTTGGTCACCCTTGATCTCCTCCACCCCATTCTTTGTTGGGAAACGAATTAGCTGGTGGTAAGTGGATGGCACTGCCTCCATTGTATGAATCCAAGGTCGACCGAGTATTGCATTGTA